TTTTACTTATATATATATATATATATATATATATATATATATATATATATATATATATATATATATAGAGTAAATTACACGAATGGTCCCTATGGTTTAGGGTAATTTGCACGTTTGGTCCCTAACTTAATTTTTTAACTCAGAAGGTCCCTACTGTTTGTTTTTGTTACGCGCTTGGTACCTGTCTTACCTAAGAAGACTATTTTGCCCTTGATTTTTAAATTTATTTAAATAAACACACCCCCAACCCCACCCCCTCACCTTACCTTACGTACCTCATCATTTTCCCTATTTAAATAATAATCTTTTTTGCTAAGATATGGACCAAGCGCGTAACAAAAACAAACTGTAGGGACCAATCATGTAACAAAAACAAACATTAAGGACCTTCCGAGTTAAAAAAATAAGTTAGGGACCAAACGTGCAAATTACCTCAAACCATAGGGACCATTCGTGTAATTTACTCATATATATATATATATATATATATATATATATATATATATATATATATATATATATATATATATATATATACACTTTTACTTATACTAATATCTAAAATATTATATATATATATATATATATATATATATATAATATTTTAGATATTTTGATAGGATATTCGGGCAGAGTATCGACTAAGTACAGTGTTATCTTTTAAATTTGACCAGCATAACGACTAAGTACTATGTTACCCTAGAGATTTGATCAGAATAACGACTAGGTATAATATTATCATAAGTTTTGGGCAAAGTATCTACCACGAAAAATATTATCCTAAAGTTTTGTGCAACATAACAACTAGGCGTAATATTATTCCTAAAACATGGGCAGAGTAACTACCGAACATAATATTATCCTAAAGTTGCATTCATTTTATAAATTACTAATATTGTGTAAATAGTAACGTTTTACAAATCAATAATATATAATATTCGGGCAGAGTATCGACTAGGTACAATGCTATCTTTTAAATTTGACGAGCATAACGACTAGGTACAATGTTACCCTAGAGATTTTGGTCAGAATATGTATAATATTATCATAGGTTTTGGGCAGAGTATCTACCAGGTAAAATATTATCCTAAGGTTTTGTGCAACATAACAACTAGACATAATATTATTCCTAAAACATGGGTAGAGTAACTACCAAACATAATATTATCCTAACGTTGCATGCATTTTATAAATTGCTGATATTGTGTAAATAGTAACGTTTTACAAATCAATAATATATTATTATAACATGTATCCCCCCCCCCCCCCGCACGTAAAACTTTTGAAAATCATAAAAGTGGTGCCGTGGACTCACCCTCGAAGCATGAATAGCGAAATCGGTGCAGCGTCGGGACTTGGAAGCTCGGGGACCGCTCGGGAGAGGGAACCAATCAGTTAGAGATAGATAGATAGATAGATAGATAGATAGATATAGAGAGAGGGGGGATTTGTGATGGTTTGATAAATGCTATCGCCGAACACTTCTATTTATATCTGGTTTTTGAAGTGCACGTTGCGAGATCGTAAGGTATGCACTGCGCATGAGCACACTGGCCCTATCTGAGTGTTGACACATGTCATTCTCTCGCTAGGCCACATCATCTGTATCTCCGCGAATCGAACGTTAGAACGCGCGTCGCACACCCAGTTTAAATGTTTTTCTAAATTTTGTATCTCTCTCGTACAAGCTCTGTTTCTGATGTTCTCTATACCTATGTGTAGGCCTCGAAGAGTACTACAACTTTCCTTTAGGTTGTTTTGGCTAATTCTAACTTTTATTTTTCGCGTATTGTTTTGTGGGGTGGGGGTATTTTAAATGATTTTATAAAAATCATAACTCCTCAATACGGGCTCAGTTTTCGGCATGCTTTGTCTTAAAATTCATATTTTGAGGAGTACTATGATTCTCCTTTTTATGACTTTAGCCAAAACTCGACCGGTTTCTTCGTATTCTTTTTACGTTGTAAAATTATTTACGTGATTGATTTTTATATCTGTAAAAATCATATTTCTTTCATACGAAGTCAGATTTTTATAAAGTGTATATTTTTGGAATCATGACGTCGTGTACTTTCTGAATATGTTAAAATTTACGTATGATGACATGACTTTTTGCACTTATTTTTGAGCATTTTAGTCTAAATGGTCGTACTTTACGGATAGGTATAAACGTAATCACATATATTTATTAATATATTATAAATATTACATTCTTATTACATTACACTTGTTCATTCTTACTAATTCCCAACGGCAGCCAGTGACACATTTTCTTTGGTTGTCACACAATGCTAGTGGAATTGGCCATGTTATATACAATGGCTAGATTCCAAACTTCCTAAGGCATTCCTTCCGCCTCTATGAAAACTCAAGACCATGATTCCACACTTTGTTTTACTCACACTCCATAGGCCGGGGACATGAGTTGGTTGTTTCTGGCAATGGAAAACGTTAAAAACATGGTGCCTAAGTAGTTTTCTTGAAGATGGCATTGGCTATGAAGATCAATGGACACATCCATATTAGAAACTCTGAATCTTTAAATTATTGGACCATCAATCATAACAATATTAATGAAACATGGATTACAAGCAAAATAGTATTGCATTAACATTGAATCTTACCACACAACCTAAAATGAGAAATAAGAACTCAAACCGGTCCGCAACATCTTTATTGATATTGGTAACTGTACCCAAATTGATTTTTTTCTAGATTGAAACAATACAAAAAAGGAGGGTGGCAAAACTTTCTTCGTGCATTCTGTTAGATGGACTCATGTTCAGCCGGAGATAAGCTCTATTGATTGCATTAAGATATAGACATCTAACTCTTAACCAAACACATATGACATATACAAGCAAACTACAAAATAATAGTTCGGAATGTGTGTCCCCAACGACAACTCGACCCACTTATGTCCATTCTTAGTTAATAAAAAAATTACACCGGGAATGTACTTTTTGGAAAATAAATATGGAAAGTTGTACTTCATACCATTTTACGTCGCATCATGACAACTCACCTAAGAGCATCCACAATAATAAATATTTTTTATGGAATTTTTTATAAGAAAACATTTTTTTTATCTCAATAATATGATAGTTTTTGCTTTTTTATGAAGCCTTATATAAGTTGATTGTTTACAATTGGTTGTCTAAAGCTTGTTCATTAACAAGCACTTTGAAAAAAGTTGTGTTAGGAAAAATTCATCCAATATATATATATTTTTAATTTTCATGAGCTTTTCCTAAACACTCTTATTACAGCTTCTAAGCTCCGGAATGAATTTTGTTCCGGACTCGATCAAATTTTCTTATTTTTTGTTTAGTTTTTAACTAAAAATAGTGGTCATTTGTGTAAATATCTCTCCTAAGAATATATCATTTACGAATGAATTAATTTCATAACGATCATGGATTTGCTTATATAAATTTGTACTCACCTTTATACTGAAATATTTTAAAAAGGGTGTTCGTTACGAGCTTTTGATGGGTGTCGTACAACAACGGATTAATTGCTCGCATTCGAGAAAACGATTTTATCTTTGCTCCTTCTGATATTGCAAGATTTAAAGAAGATGAACAGAAGAGAAGAGGAGATCCATTGATTTCAAGTGGTCCATTCCAAATCCCCTACCAACATTTATCAAGTATCAAGAAACTGAATAAAGCCGATCTGAGCCGAGCCTGCCTCTGCCACAGAATTCAAGTCTCATAAACAAAAGCAGCAGGTGTACTTGATTGAGTCTTGACCATGGCCGGTGGACCCCTCCTCCTACCCACACCACATGTGCCGGACTGAACCCTCTCTTCTCCGCCTCTGATTTGCGAAAGGGGGCCTTTGCGATATCATACACGAACTGCTCGGAAAGACTGTTGTCCTATGCCATTTTTTCCGTTTTCTTGATGACGCTTTCCCCATGACATGAACAGAAATATCACAAATTCACAATATGCATGCCTTCTTTCGTACTTGAGGGCATGAAGACATGGAAGGTCTAATCAATTGAAGAAGACGTGTATTGTTCAACACAGACCCCACCAAAATGGAATACGACCCGTTACTTCTTTTTCTAAAGGACACTGTTCATAAAAAGCAAAGTAGCAGCAGCAACATTGCCTTTTCAATTGGATCTGTGCTGTTGGATTTATCTTGTTCTCTGAAAGATTTCCTCTAATTAGGTACACAAGCAGACATTTTTGCTTTCCCAATCACTGTTTGTGATCATAGGTTAATGGTTTAGTAATTATTTTTCAGCGTACGAGCTTAAGAAATTCGAAGCATCAGGAAGAAAAGGTTAAAAATAAAACGACCAAAAGACAAGGTTGTGCACATCATCTGTTTGATGAAATGACTATGAATTTTCAAATCTATGAACCCTAATTTCAGTTATCTACCGATAAAATCACGAGCATCTATCCAATTTGAAGCCCAATCCAGTCTATGAAAGAATCTGATTCTCTATCTTTAATTTTCTTCCTTTAAATTTTAATATCTTCTTTATGCCTTTCAGTACTTGAGTATTGGCTAGTCTCACTGTACCTTTGGTGTGTACGTAGTATTTATGTCATGTGGTTTGTTTTACATGTTCAGTACAAATATTTATTATTTAACGATTTTTATTAATTCGGGTGGCAAAATGTTTCCTATTCTCAAAGAATGGAAGAATAAATATTGGTGTGCAAATCTTTTTGGACTATTTATTACAGCATTCAACAAAGTTTGACCATGTACACACACACAAAAAAAAAAAGGAAACAATTAAAAATTAGTTTAATTAATGATTCCTGCATTCCCCATATCACTAGGATAATGTTGGTAATTCAAGAAAACATTGTATCAAGATTTTAAAAGAATAATAGTCAGTGCAACATTTTCCCAAAAGTAGGAAAAAAGAACAGTGATTAGAATTGAAGTTTGAGACTTTTTAATTAATTAAATACAATTGGTATGAGTATAAAAGCCCATCACATCAGTCATCAGCAAACATGTCTCTTCTTCTCTAAACATATTCTGCCCTTTTCTGTCAAGGATATATCCCCTTTTTCTTGTGCTATTCACCTTCCAAATAGCATTCCAAGTTCTCTCTTAATTTCATATAGCATGCAAGTGAAGTATCTTTAATTACACTGACAAGTCTCCATCGTCATCACTCATCATCGTCTTCTACATCTTCTATTTATAGTCTTATTATATCAAAATCTTGAAGCTTTTTTAACTACTCATGGAACCTACAAGAACCTACTCATGGCGCTTGAGGCTTCTTATCAGTATCACACTCATTCTTCTGTTTTCTTTCATTTTGTCACCTTCTGTTTCAGGTAAAACTAATCGTATGTAGATTAATTAATCCCAAATCAGTTTCATTTTTCAATCACTTTCTTGTTATGTACATGATGCATGATGATGTTAGTTATCCCAAATTGTTGTTTGCTTTTGCAATCTTTTTCTTGTTCTTTTGTTTTTTTTAATTAATTAGCAGTTAATGAAGGTGTACAAGAAAGAACAAGAACATTGGGATCAAGGCCACCAGGATGCGTGAACAGATGCATGAACTGTCAACCATGTCGAGCCACTCTTGTTATCCCTCCTCACCATAAAAATAAAATCATCGATTACAGATCTCAATCTTCTCATCGTGAAGATGATTGTTATTATCTTCTCTCATGGAAATGCAAATGTGGTGATAAACTCTTTCAACCTTGAATCTTCATCTTATTATGTTGTATATATATCGACCAATTTCAGTACTTAATTACGTAATTATATATATAACTTTCACTCTCTTTGTGATCAATTGTGAACCCTATCGTGTATTTCCAGTATTTGAATTACACAGAAGTCAGAAAGATATAAAATTGAAAACAGAGGAATTGTATTCAAAGAATAAGTTCTCGAATCAAACACAAATATACGAGTGTGACTCTCTAAGTATATATTAATATATATACCCCTACAAATTTAACACCATCAATACTAAAGCGGTGGAACATGTCGCCATTACCTACAAAAATTGAAAGAATTTCAGGAATGGAATCAGTGAAAGGAATTGGAATCAGTGAATCAGAAATTATAGTTCATAGTTCATACCTTGAAGGAGAACAAAGATGTTGCAGAAGAAGGCACAAGTCCGGTGAATCCGATATCGTAAGAAATGCTTCCATCGGCTTTGAAAAGTCCGAAGTTTCTCTCGGATGTCGGGCCGGGTTTTAGGTTTTCGTTAAACATGGCGAAAACATACGCCTTCACCACCATTTTTGGTCTGTAAGGTGTACCTTTCTTCTTCAAGAGTCTTTTACGTAAGTTCAGGTTATACGTTCTCGCATTACTCAACGTAGCTCCGGCTTCATTCGCATCACCTTTTGAAGCCCATCCGGTTTCCGATACTATAACCTCCATCTTCTCAAATCCAGCTTTTTCCAAAGCAGCGTAAGTCGCATCGATTTGTGCTTCGAACATGTTGTCGTAATGTAATTTCGTTTTCGCGTCTTCTATTCCTGCATTCTTTTTGAAGATTGCGTAATTGATATCGATGTGTTCGGGGTCACTGATGTATGCGAGAAATGGATACGTGTTTATGTAGAAAGGGGACTTGATTTGGGAGAAGAATTCGAGGAGAGGTTTCATGTAGGGAACTAGGGTTTCCTTAAACGCGCCGGCTGATGGAGGGAAGGAACTAGCGAACACGCCGGCGGAATGTGGGCTTGAAACCTCGACATCGTCGGCGAGGTGGAGGAGGTCGAGAGCGGTGTGGATGTTTTTCACCGCCGGTAGCAGGACCTCCCAGAGTTCTTGATCGGCGCCGCCTAGAACCTCGTTTCCGACTGCGATTCCACGGATACGGGTCCCGGGAACGAAGGGTTCGACGTTGTTTTTCACCCAATCCATGGCTCGATCCTGGCTTGTGCTTATATCTCTCAGGAATTCGTTTCCAAGCCCGATGATGATCTCGATTCCTGATCCTTTGAATGCCTTGAGAACTTCGTGATCAGCGTCGTAGATTCTTGTGTTCTTGATTTTTGCTGCTTTCATAAGGGTGACGACACTTTCCGGCGAGGGGATGTTGTCGGCTATCCGCCCGTAGTTGACTCCATATGTCCCCGTGAATGCACTAGCTATCAGAACTGCCGAAAAGAATAAAATGTTATTTTGAAGCAATTTTTTAGTTAATTGTATTAGTTGGGTCAACTATTACAAAATGTTACAAAGTTGCAACAAAATTTTATATTTAAATGAGATAAATATACACAATTTTCAACATGGCTTATAGAAATTTATGACTAATATATGAATAATATGGTTAAATTTAAATTTAAAATCTAAAATATATAAAATATATTTTTAAAAATAGTTTACCTAAAACAACAAAAAAATATTAGATGAAACATACTAAAAGCACAAAACAAAACATATCTAATAGAAATAGACGAGTTTTTAGTCATTTGAGATTGTTTAAAGTTCGTAACAACCTTTTTCTACTTTTCGTTTTTTAAAAAGTGTTGTTTAGAGATAGTATAATGGGTGAAATTTTTCTTAAAATAACCTCCAAACCCATGTAACAAGAATTTTGAAGAAAAAATTGATGAAAATCATATTCTTATATTATGTGAAAATCGATTGTTGTATAGGTTTGAAAACCGGTTTCTAATATGTTTTTTTCAAATTGTTTTCACTCAAACCGGTTCCAACTTTCCATATGCCAAATCGATAACCAACTACAAGATCCACTTCAAACCAAACGATTTTAGTCAAACCAATTCAGTTTTAAAACCTATTTTTTGTGCTCGTCTGCTCTCAATGAAGTTGGTTATGGGTTTGGGCTTGTTTCGGTCCAAGTTCTTATCCTTAACTATAATCATACTAAACACAAATTACCTAAAAGGTTAGTGAATCGAGCATACCGTTGTTAATGGAGACAATGACAAGAATGAAGAACCGAAGCGATGATGAGGAAAAGTCCATTGTTTGTAAATGTAGATTACAATGTAGAAGATGATGAATGTGGATATGTAAATATGTAAGAAACGGGAAGAACAATGACTTGTTGTTTGGGATGCTTGTTCTTCAGGAATGCCATTAGAGTTGTCAATCAAAGATTCTTGAGATGAATTAAAGGGAGATTGCAATATTGGACTATAAGATTATGGCTTAGGGTATGTACTACCATAATAAATTATTTTTATGACAAGTGTTATGTTAAAAAAAATTAGACTATAGTTATGTTAAAAAAAATAGTCTATAAAAAAAAAGACTAAATCATTACAACTTTTTTAAAGTATGCACATGCTTATGGGACAATATTCAAAACAAGAGAAGAAATAAATAAATATTTAATTTTTGTTAAATGTTTTGTTTGGTATTCATATGAATCAATTAGTTTTTTACGCGTTAGTAGAGTTAAGCAAACAACTATATTTTGTGGCCATTTTTATTATTTTTTGTGAATTTTTATCGTTATGTTTTAAAAATATGTATATACAAACATTACGTCTTTATAAAATTATATTAATAATATTATTTCAGGCAAAGTTTTATATATACTAACCAAATATATATGTTAAACGAAAAGACCATGAAACGCAGAAAACAGTTTATTTTATTTTATTTTATTTTACGACGTCTAAGAAATATATAGCCCTATTATTATTTTTTGTAGTTAATTAAATGAGAGATTCCAACTTTTTGAATGCTTTTCCCATCTCTAAAGTTTACTTCTTTTCTTGTATGCTTTATAAGTTTATATACCTTTCCTGTATAAATATATTCAGCTTGACATGTGAAATATCACCGAGGAGCAACCGCCTTGCTTTGCCGGCGGGGAACCCATAACCATCGTGCCTTGAAGGAAAGGATTTTCTCTTTGCTTAATTGGGCTATAAAAAGATATAATACTACATTATAGCTCATACGAATTATAGTTATAGTTACAAGATAAATTCTTTTTTTATAGGAAAATTAGGTATGAAACCGTATAATATATGAGTTTATTAAAAGTAAAAATCATCTCTAATAAATAAATTTTTTTTTGCCACACGTGATTCTCTAATAGTTTTGACATTTGTCTGTGATAATTTTTAAATAAATAATATTCACATGTCAATTTATGGTTTTTTCTAATTTTTAAAATTAAAAAACCACATAATACTTATAATTATATATGTAAAGTATCAAATGTAATAAATATTATACTAAATTGCAATTAATATATTTCTTCATTCTTTATTTCAAAATTTTATTTTAAAAAATACTTATTATTTACATTTTAATATTTAATTTTTTTAATCAACCCGTGTAATACACGAGTTTTACACCTAATTTAATATCAACATATAAATATTAAATATTTTATAAAGTGATATTGTTACATAAGAAAATGTAATCTTTTGAAACATTTATAAAAGAATTCAAATGGTTTGGAGTATTTATGAGACTATATTATCAAATTATTAGAAAGATTTTATTTCCTTATAGACCCGGTTAGAATTTTATGGAATTTTATTTTAAGAAAATGGTAATCCTCAAAAAATGACAAGTGGAAATAAAAATTCTAAAACTCTCAAAAAATGACATATGTCAAAATGAAAGATAACATGATATGCGGCAAAAAGGTTTTTATTTATTAGGTTAGAAGATAATATGAAAAATCTGGTGATTAAAAGAAAATTAACGTGATTAATAGAGAAAATACGATTTTATGATTTAAAAAATGGAATTCAAATTATTAGTTCCTAATTTAACATGATGTTTAAATGAAAGTAACTATATATGTTGTAAACAAAAAATACAAATACGTAATAGAATAACACATGACAACCAATAAATATAGATACGTAAATACTTGACAACCTAACACTTTTTTTAATTAATAATTAATATAATAGGAGATTTTTTTTAGAAATTCATAAATGGTCCTTATGGTTTTAATTTTGTTCCCAAAACAGTCAGTGTGTATATATATATATATATATATATATATAATATATATATATATATATATATATTATTTATATATATATATATATATATATATATATATATATATATATATATATATATATATAAAAGGCTGAGTTATTTTGTTTCTTACATTTATTATGTGCTAGAATGCACCAATAGGAATTTAGTAAATTAAATAATTATTTAATAAATAAATATAGATATTAAATGATTTCCATAATTATATGTATATTAAATAATATCCATAATTATAATTCTCTTTTTTATGGAAACTAATTAAATCTGTCATTAATGTCAGCAATAAAATTTCTTTCAGAATAAATTCGCATCCAGTTTTTATATATGAGTTCGTATTTTGTTTCATGACTCACTCACTTAAAATACAATAAAGTTGCATTGAATATGAAGAACGAGAGTGTATTCTACTAGAATACACTCACATTCTGCAGGAATACACTCTCATTCTTCTAGATATGAATTCATTTTGAAAGAATATTGTTGTTGACATTAATGACGTATTTTATTAGTTTCCATAAAAATGAATTATAAGTATGGATAACATTTAATATACATATAATTAATACTAAATTCTTATTGGTGCATTCTAGCACACAATAGATGTGAGAAACATTTGAACCTACTTTTATATATATATATATATATATATATATATATATATATATTGCATGAATGATCCATTTGGACGAAACATTGCAGTCCAATGGTCCTTCTGGTAGATGTTCGTTAGA